TATACGCCCCCCCCCCCACTGCCCACCAACATCTCCCCCCTAACACCTCTACATTTAAAGTTGAGAGGTTTATTTTGGATCAATCCAGACCACTTTGTGTGCAAATTAGACAATTGCATTGGCGTCCCATTCCTGAGGGCGGCGGCACGGCGGCTCAGTGGAGCCGGTCCTCGGGTGAATGTCTAATGAAGAACCTGTCCTTCAACACACACTGACACAATTACAGAGGTGGACGCACCTTCATCAGGCTGTTCCAGGCTGGTGTCATTCTGAGGCCCCGTCCATGTCCACTGCACCATAGGTCTTCATCCATCACATCAGGGATGTTGGTGCAGAGGCAAAGGCTTTATATGTGCTCATGAACCCACCTAATGGAGAAGTTGTGTAAAACAGGTGGCTGTGATCTTGTGTCGTCAAGAACAGGACGACACGTAATAACAACACAGTGCGGTACGACTATACAGTATCACATACTTCTAAAAAAACTCTAATTCATACATGAATGTATCTAGTGTGTGTACTGGACCATGTACTATGGTACAGGATAATACATTGTAGTACATCTACAAACTCACCTTCGTCACAACTGCATATTTTGAATTCAACCAGATGTTCCCAACCATGAGGTCGAGGACCAGTACCAGGCCGTGGATATTTTGTACTGGGCTGCACAGAAAAAACAAACAGTTTTATTGATTGGTTGATTTTTCATTTACTTTTATTTTGAAAATCCATTTCCTCTATATAAATGTCATGAAAACAGTTGAAGGTAAAATATAAAGAATGCTTGTATTTACATAGTAGTTAAAGAAGAATTAAATCTGCTGCAGTTACTGTGTTCTGTTATATATATGTGTGTGTGTGAGACCTCCACTCACACACAAAAATGGCAATGGCAAAATGGTATTAACTAGTCCCTGGTTTGGGACCAGGTGTGTATCGCTGGTTTTTGGACTCCTGTGGTTCTACCTGGAATCCTTCAACATATTTGTGAATCTGTTCCACTCCAGACCTGCATGGCCCTGAACGCCTCACAGACTGACGGCTCAGCGGTAGTGCAGGGGCTTTAAAGGAGTCGTTCACCCACATCCCTGTCTGACCCTGACCTTTGACCTCTCCTTTATGTCGGCTGCACTTGGTTCACTTTCAAACAGCAGTCAAGTAGAAAACACTGTGATCCCAGGCCATCGCTGCTGCTGCTGCTGCTGCTGCTGCTGCTGCTGCTGCTGCTGCAGAGATGATGGATGGCCACTGGCTCGGCTGTGCATCATGTACTAAACACAGAGTGCACATGAGTGGCCACTACGACAGGCTGTGACTCCAACACTGCAGCTGCAGAAATCACTGAGGGAAATAAAACACAGCCTCCACGCTACACTTTTCAGGTCACTGTGGGTTTGTCCCAGCAGACAGGGGGCGCTTCTGACCTCGTACCTGCCAGACTAGCAACCTCCAAAAGAAATACACGCAGTAGTCTGGAGGAACAAACTGCAGAGGAGTGGACTGAATATTAGTCAAACACTGGTTACAGTAATGATGTGGAAGAGCGCCCCCTGATGGTGATGATGGTCGGTGTAATCCAATGTCAACTCACACACGTCTGTTCAAATGACATTTTCTCCTTCTACTCCTCTTTTCTGAGGACAGAATTGAAACTAAAACAGGTTTAAAGTGGAAGAGAGGAGAGGGGTGAGGAGAGAGGAGGACTCGTCTCTGACCCTAACGTCTCCAACGTCTCACTTTAATATTCTGGTTCCATTTGCTCTGAGTCTGACTTCTCCCTTGGTCTCCCCCAGTGGTCTCCCTCTGTTCAGTGACTTGCTGTGTCACCTCCTCATTACTCCTTCCTTCCTTCCTTCCTTCCTTCCTTCCCTGCCTCCTCACCTTCTTCCCTGTGTGTGGCTCTGCTCCCACTGTAACTCCCTCCCCACTCCTCATCTCCGTGGCTCTTGGCAGCCTATTTAAATGCTCCATTGGAGAAGGATTAAGGTTTATGCAAGGTCACTGTGGGATGTGATAATTATAATCATAGCTTTTTGCCTGGCCAATGACGGCCATTTGTTATTCTCACTTCACTGCCTTCAGAAGCCCCTAGGTTTGGGGGGGGGGTGCTGGTGGGAGGTGTTGACACGGGGCTGGCTGATTTACTGGGCCTCCTCTGCTGCCCCCCCCCCCCCCCCCCCCCACACACAAACACACACAAAACATCCTGCTCTCACTCAAAACTGATCCTGAAACCATTCAAGATGGCGGCCCCTGGTGGCTGATTTTTCACAATCAAACAACCAAAAAATGAACTTCAGTGGAAATAATCTGCCCCTAAAATATGTTAAGAAAATACTGGTTTCACTTTGATCTATGTTAGATTTCCTCTGTGTGTGTGTGTGTGTGTGTCCTCTTTTCTGATTTAGTGAAAAGATGTGAGAGGGGTTGCGTCTCAGGGAGGTCAGAGGTCAAGTGGTTTAACCTTAGGTCAATTAAGTGTGGTTCCCATCACTTTTACACACATACAGACCAGGACGTGCGCACACACACACACACACACACACACACACAATCACACACACACACACCATCTTAATAATTATGAAAAGCTGGAAAAACACTCTTTAAATCGCTGGTCTTTGGTAGCTGTGTGGGGGGGGGCCTTATTTGATCTGGTCTGGGGTAGAGATAGAAAACTGCAGGTGTGATTGTTGCTCTGAGGCGGTTGGTAAAGAAGGAGGAAGAAGAGGAGGAGGAGGAGGTCATGGAACAGGTGGAGGAGGTCAGGTACCTGAGCGGTCAAGGAAGTGGACTTGGATCCAGAAGGTCTCAGGTTGAAGTCCACCAGCTGCCAAGTTATCACTGAGGTGCTCTGAGCGTGACACCATCCCCACACACTGTTGCCCCCCGTCCCTGAGCTGCCCCCCACTGACTTTGGTGATGGGTTAAAAGCAGAGGTCACGTTTGGCTGTGTGCAGTGGTGCAGTGGTGCAGTGGTGCAGTGGTGTGTCACAGTGACAGGGAGTTGACTTTCACATCCTGTTCTACATTTGAGGTCTACAGTAGTACAGTCCAGTAAATATTGATGACCTATGACCTGCTGCTGGTCCAGGGCCCACTGGTCTGGGACCCCTGACCTTTGACAACATGCAACACTCCTCATGTGACGCTGCTACCAGACTCCAGGAAATTCTCCCTTCTCTAATTAACCCTATTACGCACACACGCGTGTAGCCACTGTGTTGGTGCGTACACAGCCACGTGCACTGATATTCGTGCTCATGGTCACCGTGCAGGTCACTGCGGCTCTGCTCCGGCGTCTTATCAGGTCCACTGAGGATATACACTGGACTGGACACCAGTCTCAGACATCCAGTGGACTGGACAGTGGGCTCAGACCTCCAGTGGACTGGACAGTGGGCTCAGACCTCCAGTGGACTGGACACCAGTCTCAGACATCCAGTGGACTGGACAGTGGTCTCAGACATTCAGTGGACTGGACACCAGTCTCAGACATCCAGTGGATTGGACAGTGGTCTAAGACATCCAGTGGACTGGACAGAGGGCTCAGACATCCAGTGGACTGGACACCAGTCTCAGACATCCAGTGGATTGGACAGTGGTCTAAGACATCCAGTGGACTGGACACCAGTCTCAGACATCCAGTGGACTGGACACCAGTCTCAGACATCCAGTGGATTGGACAGTGGTCTCAGACATTCAGTGGACTGGACACCAGTCTCAGACATCCAGTGGATTGGACAGTGGTCTCAGACATCCAGTGGATTGGACAGTGGTCTAAGACATCCAGTGGACTGGACAGAGGGCTCAGACATCCAGTGGACTGGACACACAGCAGTGGGACGGTCTACATACAGAACTTTATGCAGCTGTTCTGATGTCTGAACTCCCAGGTTCTGGTTCCACTGGTACCAACCATTAAAGCCATGATAGTACTGGACCAGGTGTGAGTAAATTCACCAGCAGAAGAGTCGGCGACATAAACAGACAGAATCTACAAATCAATTCTGTAAACGGTTCTCTGCCATAATTACAGTTCCACAGTTCCTAAATTGAATTATGCTCAGGACCATTTGTGTTCTTCTCCACATTCCACCTCCTGCTGAGGTCGACATTGGTTTGATGTTGGTGTTCTGAGATGAAAGTCAGCAGGGAGCATCTGGGAAATTTCACACTTTTACCTTTTAATCATTTGACGCCTGCAATTTTCACATTTTTTAAAAGCCCTGACAGCAGCGTGCATGTGTGTGTGTGTGTGTGTGTGGAGTTCACCTTTCTTTTACGTGCTGCAGACCTTATAAACATCTTTGGATGTGAAATCCATATCACACTAACCATTTCAGCTTTTACTGCGTTAACGTTGTCTTTAGAAACCAGGTGGCGTTTATGGTCCATGGTTAAAAAAAAAAAAAAGAAAAAAAAAAAAAAAAAGAGTTTTTTTTGGAAGTAATATTCAGTACATGCTTCACAGTAGAGGTACTTCAAAGTTCCTCTATACATCATATGTTGTCCCTGATTCTGTTTCTCCAATATTCTGATCTGTACTTCAAATACACAGTACACTTGGCACTGTGTGTACTAGTACTTGTTTTGTTTTTTTTCCTTTAGTATTTTATATATTATATATTTGCTGCACTTGACATGCAGTACACACTGCAGTGACGGCTGTGTTCTTCACGTGGACCATCAAACATGTCCACCTGGTTCTAGCTTCCTGATTGTCATAAGTTACAACTGGACCAGAACCTTGTAACATCGCTGGTTCAGTGTGGACCAGTGCGTGACTTCTGAATGAGCAGCTGCTCATCAAGCTAAGAGGAGGAGACGTCTGCGGCACTGACAGCTGATTGGCTGTCTGGCAGCCCAGCTGACGCAGCCATGCGTTGTATTGGCTCCAGTGGTGAGAGTGGGTGACATGTTGGAGGAGACAGAGATAATGTCATCCAGGTTAGATAATGTCATGTGACTGGACTGGGATGGAGAGGTTATTGGTGCAGTGATGAAGGTACAGTTAACAAGATCAAGATCAACAGTGACAACTCGCCCATGAACAACTTTATTATTTTCTATCCTCCTTCTTTAGCGTTTTCCTCTAATTTGTCTCCTTTAATTTAACCTCCATTTAAGCAGACGGGATTAAATTCAGATTCACCACGACAGCCGGAGGAAACGACATCTGCAGGACAGGATTAGATTATAATTCAGAGTGAAGGGGAAATAGATTATTCATAGTTCTTCATCATCTCAGCTTTTTATTTTATTATAAAAAAAAAAAAGTTTTCAATGTATCAAATGTCGAAATGGTCCACCACTGACTATACAACTGACCCCCAGAACCAGAACTGGACCTGCAGTGAACTGGACACTCAGTCTGACCCCTGACTCCCAGAACCAGGACTGGACCTGCAGGGAACTGGACACTCAGTCCGACCCCTGGCTATACAACGGACCCCCAGAACCAGGACTGGACCTGCAGGGAACTGGACACTCAGTCCGACCCCTGGCTATACAACGGACCCCCAGAACCAGGACTGGACCTGCTGTGAACTTGACACTCAGTCTGACCACTGACTATACAACTGACCCCCAGAACCAGGACTGGACCTGCTGTGAACTTGACACTCAGTCTGACCACTGACCTCCAGAACCAGGGCTGGACC